CATCAAATATTTTCGCTCGCGCGCGATTGGTCTGAACGCGTCACGTGACCGAATATTCCCTGGCTAAAACTGGGAATATCCGAAAATACTCCCCAATTTTCAAAACTGCGCGGGTTGGAAGAAATATCTGAAGTATAATAAACACAATAGCCTCCATTTGACTTTGAAAATATGCTTGGATATTTGTCCTTGGATATGATCTGTTCCTCAAAGCTCACAGTTCCTGTAAATTTTTTTAAAAATTTGTAAATAATCACATTTTACAAATATTTCACGATGTATATAGGCTTAATTATTTTATTTTAATTATTTTTAATATTGTTACGATTGTCACTCTTTCTTTTTCAAATTTTAATTTTTGAGGGCCATTAGGTTATCAGTTTTATTACTGTCAAATGTTACCCTTGTAAAATAAAGTCTTACTTACTTACTTACTTACTACTTACTTAGTCACAGTTTCCCCCCAGCTACGCTCTCGGAAAACTGTTTGCTTCTCGGAACAGATAATGTCCGCGGACAAATATCTGATCATATTTTCGCGCCAAATGAAGGCTGTTGTTTATTTATTTCTTCTTTTTCTTTGTTTACTTAACAATTATTCTGCGAGCGCGCGTGGGATATGAAATGATACATAGGTAACGAGGCGCGTAGCGCCGAGTTGGCTATAATCATCTCATATTCAACAAGTGCGAGTGGAATAATTGTTTTTTTTTTTTTAAACGCCCCCAAAATATAGAAAGTTAGACTAAAATAAAAATAAAAATGCCTCAAAAAAATCACGCGCACGCTTACCATGTTTGTGGAGCATGGGATTACCCATGAGGGCTAAGCCGATGAAACCTCTCGAACTGTTTTATCCAATGATCCAGTTTTCAATAAAATCGTATACACCCTGCGGAACCGATGATAAAGGTCAACTAACTAACGTGCGTAACTCAAAGGGGGAAATTAAAGGAACGCTCTAACCACACATTGGAGGTGACGGAACTGGGTTTCTTTATTCTGTTACGATTGTCCCTTTCAATAAAACTATTTTCTAACTGCTCATTATGTCTTTACCTGCAGATATAAGAAATACAACCGATGCAAGGTAGGTCACCTGGAGTGCCTCATAGTGCGTATTTAATTGCAATTGTAGTAAATAGCAAAAGAGTCCCGCTAGTGTTATGTTGCGTTGTGGCTAGGATACTAGCCTGTGTCACAGGAGCCCTAGCTATTATAACTAGAGCATGTGCATTCCAAAAAATTTCTGGAAAGTCAAGTGTGAATTAGTATTACTCAACCACTAGAAAATACCTCCAGGTTGGGCGGGGGTGAGGATAGTCACATGTTATAGTGATTGGGAGGGTCAAGGCCCTTGCTTTCAGAGTTTCATTTCTTTAAAATATTCTAAGCACTACTCATTTCTGTTAAACGATTGAATCAGGAGCATTGACAAAGTGTCAACTACATGCAAATGACAAGGAAACTTCAGTCCATACTGAGGAAAGGGACTTTTTGGATTGCTTCCTAAGCCGTTGGACTTTTTGTGGTACTGGTTTTTGCCTTAGGACTACTTTAAGACAATTTCCCCTTATTGGTAACTTTCCGCCTGTATTACGCCTGCGTGCCACCCCCAGAGTTAGAGCAGTCTCTGCAATCTGTGTTTTGTCGTATGTTTTTTTATACTGATTTCGCTCGTCTCTTTGCTAACAGGGACCAACTTGATAATCAAGCCGGGTTGTCGTTGAGCCCAGAAAATGCGGCAAGAGAGCTTGGGTTCTCTGAGGAAGCAAAACCTTGTGATATGAAAAGCGAAAATCAGAGGCGGGAAACAGATCAGTCTTCGAGACAGGAGTGTGGATATGCCATGTTGACTCCTCGTACAATGATGGTAATTTCAATTAAAGTTTTGATATGTGCAAAAGCATAGACGTCTGAATAACAAAATCTCGATGTCGTCGTTACCACCGGTGCGGTCCTTGTCCTTGATTTCTTTGTATTTCAGTGATAATTGTATTTCAATTAATTTCTTGTGTTTTGCACAGCTGCCAGGGGATAGTTCCTATGCATCGCTGGTGAAATCTAAAGAAGGAGACTGTACCGATGAATCTTCTGTGGCCGCTTCTCCTTTGCTGCAACACGATGACGAACATCATGATCAGCTACCCACATACGTCAATGTACGTTTGGCAAACTATGCGAATATGTAAATCGCTGGATGAAGAGATAAAGTGATGACATTAGTAGTCGATACTTGCCTTGGGTTCCGCTCGAATTCGTGGTAGTGATTAAGAGATATTAGCTTAGATAATGGCCAATTGATGCTAATGCGTTTTCAGTCATGCATTAAGTTAATTGAATTAAGTTAAGTTAATCAAGGAAACTAGACAAACAATTGAATGACTCAGTCAGTGTTAATGGCGCCGATGTTGAGAAATCTCGAAATTTAAACATTTTCAGAAACACTTCCACCTAAAGCCGCTGTCAAAAGCGATGCTATGAATGATTACTTTAGTTTTTAATTACCTCTTAGCAGATAGACAGTTAGTTGGATAACAAGGATATGTTACAATTTTTGTTACCTGGAAGAATGGTTTTAGAATTCCATGTTACAACATTGCCGAATGTTGGAGAATAAGCATAGTATATAGTGGGAATTAATATATAGATTTAGCCAAGCCTAAACGCGGAGCTCCTGATTAAAATAAAAGAATCAGGAGGCTTTTTAAAGCCAACTCGTGATACACTCTTTCTTTTCTATAAGAATATGCTTTATAAGAATATCGGGGCTAAAATTTGCGAAAATTTTAATACTGAGATTTTGAATAAGGCTGGGATTTTGAAAAAGAATATAAATTGTTAATACAATACAAAATAATTATGTGTTTTTAACTAAACCTTATAAAACTTCTTCCTTCCCTAAACGGCAAAACTAGCCAAAACACAAAAACAAAAACAGCACTAGCCGTTTTTTCGATGCTAATAACATTTCTCCAAGACATTAACGAGTGATACCGTAGCTAGGAAGAGTTAATGGCAATTAGTTGGGGAAGAAATTAGGCCGCCTGGAAAAAACTTCCTGACGCGCATTCATGACGCTCAGTATCTTATCAAGTAACTTGAAATGGTTCCAGTTTAGTTTTATAATTGCTTTTATTTTATTATACATCTTTAATTCTTCGTTTTTATCAAGCGTGTGACATGGCTTCATCAAATATGACAGTGTTTGATCAGGATTTTGATATATGAATTTGGCTTTTATCTTGAGTTCAGTTGCCAAATATACTGGTCAGCGGAATTACCAAATAATTTTACCAACTCATCGACCAACTGACTGACCGAGCGAGCGATTGAGTTATTCCTTCCCCAGCTAACTGCTATAAACTCTTTCTAGCTGCGTTGACTCGTTAAGAGTAATACTTCTGCCTGTACATAGGTTCTTGATCGAAACTTTCGTCCTTTGCCCGGGAAACAACTTCCTGTAGCTCTTTCAGGATAGACTGCGGGCAGTCTCTCTTTGCCTCGAAAATCCATGGTAAGGAACGCAAAAGAAGTAAGCATGCGAGCGTGACTGTGGGGGTGAGGTGCGATCGTCGATGCTAGCGGCTCGTAGCATCGTCGCTCGCACATTACGCTTATATTTACGCTCGCACGCTCACTTGTTTTGCGTTCTTCCCCACGGAGTTTTGAGGAAAAGAGAGACTGCCCGCAGTCTACTTTCAGGACGCTAATACCGTCCTTGCAAGCATATTCCTTTTTCGTGAATTCCACGTTCTTAGCTTGGGATTCAACACAAGAGTAAATGAGAATAAAATAGTAAAGAGCACACTTCAGTAATAGACACACTGTTTTAAGTATTTTCGCTTTTGCATCGGTTATACGTAGGAAGTATTTGTCTTACACTTGAGTTTATCCTTAATTCATATCAAAGTGGTTTGCAGCTAAATTATTTTTATTAAATGTCCGCATAATAATGAAGAGTACGATATTTAGACTTCTCTTATAGTGACGACTTCCCGCAACACCGATTCCAAAATCGCGTTACCGTCAAATTGTGCGTTCTTTGTTGTGTTTATCGTTGTCGTTTAAGTTACTTTCCTATTAGATGGTACGTTTGCGCTTACATATCGACGTTAAGATCTCCCATGCCTTCTAAAAAGACTTTCATTTTTTTTTCTCTTGTGTCATGATTTTAATTCACGTTTTAACGTAAACCAGACAAATTAAAGAAAACCAAACTCCGTCAGTCAATCACTCCGAAAACTACAAACTCCATATGTTGCAACAGATATCAAACTTGGGGAAAATGTTTTGTAATCATTGGATGCCTGTAATTCCCAAGTGATCTCTTGACAATTAGGCGACAAACAGGCTTGTAGAGAAATAATCACAATCAAAAATTTTAATATAGGTACGATTAAGTGCGGAATAACTCTATAAAGCTAAAAGTTCGTCATAATTACAGTTAATTGCGAATTCGTTTTTTTTAGCAACATCTCCTAAGAACTTGAAGGATGTTCCCATAGAGGACACTAGCAAAAACAGCACTTAAGTGATTGTAATCGTTCTGACCTTACTGGCCATTCTTTTTTGATAACCTTGATGGTATTTTACGTCATGCATGTTAGAAGTCGGAACTAAAAGCAAGGTAATTCCCATAGTTGCATCCACCTCTTTACTTTAAAACAGATTCGTCAAAGTCCCGAAGACAGTTTGTGATCCCTGCTTTTACCCACAGGTTCTGTTCTTTGAAATACTGATCTTCTCCCAGTCGATTTCTGTGGACTGTAGTTGCTGCCTGGTCAAAATTGTATTTGTTTAATTGTTTAATATTTGGGCCAATCTATTCCACTCGCCAGAACTGCAGGTGTAGATATGGCTATGGAGCCACACCCCATGAGTGTCTAGTGTGTATAAAAGAGATTAACTTGTCGACTGAGTGGTAAATTTTGCGAATAAATCTGCCGGGATGTACAGGTTGAGATAGCCCTGTTGTGGAAAAAAAATAATAATAATAGTAAAAATAGATTTTTTTTCGCAATGCTATTTGTTGGTTAATTCGTGGTTACGATGGTCCCAGATGAATTTTGACAAATTAGCCCATTGTGTGCCCCCGATGATATAATCTGTATAATGAAGGCCGTTTTTTACTTTCCAATCGTCTTTGAATGTTATATAAATAGCTTTGAACGGTAACTAATTAATGATCATTAACCCTAATTAAGTCCCAATTACGCATATACGCGTAATTAATGGTCGTGCTCTTTGTGACGATAGGTTTTCTCGGTAAGCTACTGTGACGATAAGTTTTTCCTGCAACACTGTAAATTTCGGACTGAACGGACACTTGAACTGACAACTGGGGGAATNTACAGAAACAGTGGGGCACGCTGCCAAACGGTTGCAATTTGAGAATTGGAGCCTTATTGAAAACCATTTCACTAGCAATACCAGCAATGCCACAAAGTAGAAATTACAATGAGGTACCTGTCCACAAAGTTTGCCTTTATTTCTGCCGTAATATTCACAACCTTTTTCGATTTTTTTTTTGTTTAGCTTCTCCAAAAGGGAGGTTGCCAGCCACCCAATCTATTACACCCCCTCTAAATCCGCCTCTGGAAACCGGAAGTACGAACGAAGGCAAACGTATTTTCGACTGTCTAGACCATACTGGTAGTTACGATCAACAATTTGCATTTCCATACTGATAGTTCACATCATTTTCATCCTACTCTTTCATTCCTTGTGAAGTTTATTTGCATATTCATAGCTTTATTTTAGTATATTTAGGCCTAAAGTTAATTTCCCATACAAATTCTATAAAGCGAACGTTCGTTGCGGTTAAATTTAGCCACAACAGTCACATAATGAGCTTGAGCTGCCTGTGGTAAAACCACTTATAGATATATTGCCAACTAATGACGTGAAACTCTTGACCTGATAAATCAGCGACGAGTTTGGTTGAGCCGTGGTTCATATTTTGTACGGTGTTAAAACGTAGTTGAGAGCAATTGTTGATTCAAACCCGGATTCAAATCGCTGTACGTGATCAAACTGTTCACACGTGATCGTGTTACGGTCTGTTGAGTGAAATCCTATCCACAAGACGAAAGAAGTGCTTTCCTTTCAAGCGGAAATGATTTAAACAGACGCGAAACCCGCTTGCTTGCAAACAGTTTGATCACGAACAGTAATCTAAATCATTAACAGCTTGATTCGAGCTACGGTGAAAAAGATTCAGTTAACGGTACTGTGAATTTAACTGGAGATACCGTCAAATACACTTCTCACGTTCGCGGCAAAACCAGACAAGCGTGATATACCGTCTCACCGAAACGTGCTTCAAAGGTTGGAGTTTTGGCAGAAAATCCGGCCATACCAAGTCAGTGACTTGATGTAGTAGGATGTCATGATTGATCGGTTAACTGTATTTTTGGGTAGAAGGTAATGAATAATATTCCCTTATATTTTTCAGGATCCACAAAGAAGACATCATGCCTTGTAAGTTCGTTTTTTAACATATTTATCATCGAATCTAAACAAGTGGCGTCCACTGATGTTTGCGGGTTTAACCGAAGAAATTTTGGACTGCCAGCAGTCTCTCTTTCCTCGAAAACCGTGGGGAAGAACGCAAAACAAGTAAGCTTGCGAGCGTGACTGTTAGCGTGACGTGCGAGTGGCGATACCGCGAGCCGCTAGTAGCGCGGACGTCTTCCGACGCTGGCACGTCACGCTCACAGTCACGCTCGCACGCTTACTTGTTTTGCGTTCTTCCCCACGGTTTTCGAGGAAAAGAGAAACTTCTTGCGGTCTAAATAAGTTTGTGTTTAATTTTCAGGGCGAAATCTTGGATATGATGTTTACAAGGCAATTATGGGGGAAGAAATGTTTAAACAGAAAATCGAAGAGTTCGAGAAGGTACCAGAGTAATATCTACGTCCAATTGTTATTTGGTCGCAAACACATTTACATAAGAAACAGGCGTGTTACTTGACGTACTAGAAATGAGCTGCATCTTTACACTTTCTTTTTTTCCAAGCCTCTTCCTCCACCCGGAATATTCGACGCTGCGAAACTGGCTTATGACACCACCAAACTCAAGCTGCTATTTGGTACTAAGGTGTTGATAAAGGGCCAACGTGGAACGCATCCAATTGGGGTTGGATCTGAGGGGATCGCGACCATTGTCTCTAATCCCAAGTTCCCAAAGAATGAGTTCTTCACCCCTGGACGTTCGTTTCCAGTCTGTCTCCGGCACTCCACCATTCAATCAGTTGATGACGTGTTGATTGATTTCTGCGGCGGCGCGTTGAGGTTTGCCGGAAGTGACGACATGGAGAGTCCGTGTGACCTTGTAATGGGGACTGGCCCGACCACCCCCCTGTGGAGCGCTGGAGCTGTTTTTGACGCTGTAAGAGCCAAGGTTTCAGGAGATTTGAAAACTTATTTGCTGCTCGGTCCAGACCAGTAAGTAATGAACCAAGTGAAATTAGAGATGGACTATTATTTCCTTGAAGGGAGTGGAGGGGGAAGAGGTTGGGCAAGTTTTTGGGGCACAATGTTTTTTCTCACCTTTAAACTGAGCATGATAGTTTTGTTGGGATATAGGTCCTGGATAATACAAAGTGATTGCTCGATTTTTTCCCCATGGCTCCCCTTGCACGACTGTTTTTTTTTTTTCAGCAGTGGGTGTTGCTGGGCAGGAATTTTTTTTAAAATTGCCCAACCC